AGACCTAACTCTTGGTGCAAAAGGTCATAAAGAATAATGACTTCCTGTTTGGACCTACTATCCTGATAGACTCTTCTGCCAAGATGCAAAAGTTGTGGGACAGGATCTTGCCAAGGGTAGTACTCCACAACAAGAAATGACGAACAGGGGCATCTTTATAGGCCAGGCAAGTAAATAAACATCTGTGGCTGCTGAAAGGCTTGAACATGCAACTCCCTTTTGGGGATGGGTTGAAAGCTAACAGAGACTTCAGCCAAAAAGCTAGCAGGACAGCATAAGCTTGTATATGGGATCGTGTTTACTCAGTGCACCCACCTAGAGCAGAGAGGTCCTACCGGTTCTCTCCTAGACCCCGTCAGTTTCCTGTATTGAACATAACATGAGAGTGATGCCCGCCCATGCAGGGCCATGGCTTAATCATTTGTGTACCTTTTCCTTTTCTCTTGATTTTGCTGCCTAAGTATTGGTGTTGCACTTTCTCATGTCGTGTGTGCGAACTGCCTTTCTGTACATGTCGGTGCCTTCGGTGTGCTGTGGGAAACAGGAGGAATGAACCTGGCACTTCTTGACAGACTGAAATTGTTTGAAAGGGCCAAGGCCCACCACGGCCTGTTTCAAGAGATAGAAACCTTTAAACCTGTATTGAACATAACATGAGAGTGATGCCTTGCCAAACCTTTAAATAGAGCTATAGGACCTGATAAGCAACTAAGGATATGGTTATAGTATTTAAATAACTCAGGTGATGGATTGGGTTTTTTTTTTAAAGTCAGTTTAAAGTCATGTGGGTGTCACGAAGTTTTGGGATCAGTGCGTATGTCATCTTGGGACAATTTTTAAACCATTTTTAAACTGTGTTGCATATCCGTCAAGGGGGCTACAAGGGCTTTTAAAATTGTTGCAATTTGTCTTTGCAGCTGTGTATCTTCTCAGATATATATCTGTGCTGGCACACCTTTTTTTTATTAAATTGAGTTATTGTATTTATACCTTGTGAGGTGAAAATCTGGAACAGATGGTGATGTCTTATCCACATAGTGAGCTTTATTTGACCAACCTAATATGTCTAAGGAAGTTAGGTGTGCAGTGGAAACTGGCATTAAACCAAAGGAAATCCTGATATTGCTTGCCTTGTGCATGAGATGGGGGTGTGTTTACAGAAGAGGAACTTAATGTGTGTTTAATTGGGAAAAAGAAACTTAGGGTGAGACTACATGGTCAAATACATTGGGATTTGCTCCACTCCTAAAGCAGGTGAATTTGATATGCG